GACTGAAGTTCCACTTTAGCTCTCACTCTTACATTTTCACATCATGTACTTACTTTCACATCCATAAAGTTAACATGACCAATGTTTTCTCCTTTGATAGATAATAACACTTCTTAAATGCTTATTACGTGCCAAGTACTGTGCAAGTAATCCCCACAATGAGTCTCTGAGGTCATCATCTCCATTCTAGCGATAAGGAAACAGGTTTGAGACCTTGGGTACCCTGCCTCCCCTCACAGTCAGAATGAGGTTGTGCACAGATTTGGGCCAAGCAGTTGGGGTTTGGAGCCTCTCCCGGTCAGAGCAAGTCAGCAGCAAAATCTAGGCCCTTTGACAAAAAGTCCTAGGAACACCAGCACTGCATGTGCCAAAAAGGCAACTCTGATAGCTGTTCTTCCTCTCCCTCTCCAAACTGAGTGGGAGGTGCTTCACAGATGATGTGGCTTTTTACAAACTGAAGGCAAGACCCTCAGTCCACCAGCAAAAAAAGTATGACTCACTTTATTGCACTGATCTGGAAACAAACACTGTCTCTGAGGTGTGCCTCCGCTGTGGACGTAGTGACTTTAAGGGAGTCCAGTTACTACTTTTCCCCAGACGGAAGTTGCTGATCTTCACGTGACCTTTTCAGTGTGTGTCTTCCGCAGGTAGAAAGGCATGCGAACCCATATACTGGTCCAAGATCGAGGTTTAGATGGAGAATACCATATACTCAGTGTGTGTGTAATTCCAGACCGTGTTCCTCAGCATGGGGCAATTTAGGAGGAGCTGATTGTTTTCCAGCTTCATCGCCTAGTCTCTGGAGGCCATAAACAGATGTGTTTACATCTGCATTAAATTCCTTCTAATAACACTGTGGTAAATAGCAGGCGAGATGGTTTTATGCATCCCCATGGCAAGGCTGTTAAAGCATTTTCTGATCTCTCCCAGGTAAAAGCAAACCACAAATTGCTGTAGATTTTTATGGATTTCAATGATAAAGGTCTGGCTAGGTCAATTTCTGCATAACTTGCGAAGGAAGACAAAATTAAACCTGTCAGCAGGTGCTTTCATTGCCTGCAACAACTTAAACCTCCCATAATTCACCGTGAACTGCCAGGAGCTAGCCAGTTTTTTAAGTGGCCACAAGGGGGTGTTAAAGGATTGCATACTTACCTGTATCACATCCCGCCTCCATTCTTATTTAATACATCGTTTCTTGGGTACCCAATCTTGTTTCAGTAGGTTGCAAGTGGTTCCCATGGTCTAGTCTAACAAGGCAATGGCAATAAAGCACTCAGAGTGGACTTCTGTAACCAGGGAGTGAATGGGCCTTTTTCTTACTTCAAGGGATTCGGCTTCTCTCCAAATCCTTGAGGATGTCTCCTCCACAGAACTTGCCATGGTTGATGTGGGTTCAAGTACTGTCTGACTCTACCTCTGCTCTCCAGACCACATGCTGTTCCTTGACCAGTGGACTGAGGAGGAGGGTCATGGGGTCCTGATAAGAGTGGGTGAAGGACCCATGGAGCCAAAGCCCAGGGTTACAGCCAGCCTTCGGAACCATTCTATAGGCCCAGAGGCCCTTCGAAACCCTCCAGACCGGAGCAGAGGGCTGCGGCTGAAGCCCAGTTTGGGGGCCGAGGTCACTTAGATTCCCTGTAGGGGACTTTGGCTTTGAACTTTAGTCCCCTTTTGTGCCTTGAATGAACGGTGCCTCTATGTACTTGCTTTTTGCATGAGCAAAAGTCTGTAGGTTGAGCACGAATTTGAGAAGGCACCAACCCTGCTTCAGATCAAGCTGTTACTTTAGGAAAACAGCTGCAGGCCACGGCAAATCAACTGCTCCTCCTGCTCCGTTCAAAACCAGACTGATGAGCTAACAGGTGAGGCGCCTGACCCGCACTGGCATCCGGGCATGACCGATACTGAGGTTAAATTGCCATTTAACTTCTCCATATAGGTCGGAGAATCCCCATGGGCCACGTCACCTCACACAATGTCCAGACAGCTTGACATTCCCTCCTCTCCTGGCACTAATTCCACTCTGAATGGTGTTCCAGGAGCAAAGAAATACCACCATTCTTCAAATTTGTGACTTTCCTGTTTCCAAGCTTCCATTATCCAGATAAAAAGGGGGTGAAGTGTTGGAACAGCCATGTGAAAGGAGCTGTCAATGCTGAGGGCCCGACATGGTTTCGCTCTTGCTTAATTCACTTGGTCCCAGACACACACAGTCACTTGCTGGTCAGATGAGGGCAGCTGGTGGCAGTCCACTGGAAATGAGGATCCCCTTGGTTTTAGCTACAGCAGAGCCATGCCTCCCTCACTCCTTCCCACATTTGGCACAGGAAATCCTGCCAGGCCCAATGGAGCAGGTCTGTGTGGGTGATCTAATGAGGCTGGCTTTTCCTGAGCTCTAACTACCCATTCCTTTAGCTGGAGCCCAACTGGTGACAGGTGGCACACAGAAGTGTTACTGTTATTTTGATTAACTGCTATCCTGACTGGGACTAGAACTGTTCCACATGATCGTACCCCGCCCATTTCCAGGATGGTTCTGAACAGCTACCACCTGTGTCCCTGTAGGTAGAGCAGGCTGCTTCCCCAGGCTTTCCTCTGCCCCAGGCGGGCCAGGACCCATGAGCACAAGACACCCTTGCTAGTAGCACTGTATACCGGGCTGTGCCTCAAACATCAATTTCCTCATGGCTCTGCCAAGACTTCTGCCAAGTCTAGAAGTTTAGAGACAAGTCTTCTTGTCCTCCACTTGGTATTTTTCATTTTGTGCCCTGAAAATACAGATCACTAAAGAAATCGGAGCTCAAAATCTTCCCACCTGGGAGGCACAGGGAGGTACCGGATTTGCGTAGTTATTTTTGCTGCATTGGTTAAGTCTGCTTTCCCTCCTGTTGCACAATGCTGCCTAGCCCCGTCCCTGGAGCGGACAAGGGCAGCCCTGCTCCCAAGCTTAGGTACCTGTGAGGCTCCCAGTCAGCTTTCCCACACAAGGACAATATTCCAACTCTATCCTTTGACTTGTTTCAGTAAAAGTGCAGAAATCTGTATTCTTAATTCTGTCCTTTATTTTCATCGCATTGCTCAAAGTCAAGAAAGGAAAGAATACATGATCAGTTCTTGCTCCAAGGATCAGGACTGCCCTACAGGTGACAAGTCCAATCAGGTGTCTGGGCTCCCAGGCTGAAGGATCAGGAGGGGTGCTCCTCACAAAACCCAGTCTTGGGCAAGGTTTTTGATCCCATCCATTGGGAGTGGCCTGACACACGAAGTGAAGACCGAGAGCTTACCTATGGGTGCAAGATGATTTTCCCATCTACGAGGCTTCCCTTGTCACTCTCCCCACTTTGTTCAATACTCATCTTACCAGGAAATTGAGCAGATGAAGGGGCAACACACTGTTTCATTGTATCATTTTCATAAACTATTTCCACAGCACCTCTCAACTAGAGATGGAATCATTACAGGCTGTCACAGGTAAAGTGCAAATTTCTCAGCAAGTTGGAAATTCTCCCCAGCCTCTTGATCTTTTTAGTCAAACCAATGTTTTCCAGAAAGGAGCTTACCAAATCCAGCACTCTACTTTGGTGTACTCGATTAATAGTCCCAGTCTCTCGATTGGAGGTAGGATGGGGTAGGGTAGAAGTAACAAAGCCTATTAAGTGTCTGATTCCCACCGACGCCCCTCCCCCCCAGAGCAGAATCGTCAAAACAGGGGCAAGGGTTCAGCTGGCACAGAATGCAGTGACCCGAGTGGTAGGCATTCTTTACACAATGTCCCTCCACTGCATCAAGCTAGAAAGTGTGCATGTGTGGGTACATGTTGTTAATCCTCACCTGAGGACATTTTTTCCACTGATTTTTAGAGTGGGAGGGAGGGAGGGGGAGAGAGAGGGAAAGAAACATCCATGCAAGAGAGAAACATTGACCAGCTGCCTCCTGCACATGCTGACTGGGGCTGAGGATCAAAACTGCAACCCAGGTGCCCTTGACTGGGAATGAAACCTGCGACCCTTCAGTGCTGGGGCCAACGCTCTGACCACAGAGCCACACTGGCTAGTCATGGATGCATTTCTTTGTCTTTGCTAAGTGGTTTTAATGACATGGTTGGTATAACTGAACAAATAATTACTACTCAACAAAAAGCAGAAGTTTGAAGCTAAGGATGAGCTGCAAAAATCTCATAATGAAGAACTTCAACTCATATTATCTCTCACACCACCCCAACCCCTGGCTTTCATTTCCTCTGGTGAAACACCAAAACCATGGTGCAGTGAAAAAACATAGCTTTTCTGGATGTAAGCCCTGGGATGGCATCCCAGTGCTGTCACTTTCTGGCACTCAAGGGAAATTAACCTGAACCTCAATGTCTTCCAGCTGTAAGGTGGTATCACTATCGCCCACACTTGCAGGGCAGTGTCTATGACTAAATTTATGTCACAAGTCCACTATATTATCTGGCACTTAGGGATACTTATGTTGGCAGTGCAGTAACATAACCAATAAAAAACATATGAAAGAATTCTACATGCTAATACTTAAATTTAAATTACACTTCACTTATTATTTTTTTATGTCTTCAACCAAGGATATGTTTTTACTGATTTCGAGAGGAAAGGGGGGGAGAGAGAGAGAGAGAAACATCGACTGGTTGCCTCCTGTATGCGCCCTGACTGAGGACCAAATCCACAACCTAGGTATGTACCCTGATCAGGCATCGAACCCACAGCCTTTTGGTGCACAGGATGACGCTCCAACCAACTGAGCCACCTGGCCAGAGCTACTTCACATTATTTTAAAAAATGTAACGCTATATTCTGGCAGATTCTTTGCCCTGGCTGAATTTACACTTGTTTCTATTCTTATTTTTAAGTCAGTAAATGAAGAACACAAGCTACATGTAACAAATGTTATCTTCTAACTTTGGGTTTAACAGAAGCTGAAGCTAATTAGAAAGAATACTTACAGAATGAGAACGCCAATTATGAAAGATAAAATACATGTGCATCTTGGTTGCTTAGACTTGAGAGCCTAACTGCTCACAGAAGAATTCATAGACTTTTTTATTGTTAAGCTGCAACATACATGGTTTAATACAACAAAAAACATTTAATCAAGTGAAAAGTAATAAACTGAACAATAAACAAATAAACACTCAAAACAAAATATTTTCCATTGGAAACATGTTAAGATGAATACGGGGTTTCGTTACCATCTTACTGCAATTTTCTTATGTGTCACTAGCCTACATACCCCATGTTTTCTGTTATCATGCAGATGTGAATGGAAGTTTGAATGATTAAATAAACGAAAAGTCCGTGTACTGCAGAGAACCATTTCACAAGGCAGCCAAACTGGATTGAGAGAATAAAATTATTCAAGAAATTCTCCACGTACTTAGGTTCACTTTAGAATCCATGAACCTTAAGCTGTTCCTCCTTGACAATGCCAACCTGCAAAATAAAACTTAATTTAGCAGAATCACTCTAAGGAATATATAAATCCACCCCTAAGAAAACACGGAGTAGCCATTAAAAATCATTGTTAATAGCTTGTCGCAACATTGTTTTGGTGGCATCAACTGTTAATGACAAACAGTTCGACTCACATTTGAGTACCGTGACGTAACAGAAACACCGCGTGTAGATGCAGGAATGATCAGGCCATCCTATGGCAGAGCAATCTCAAGGCTGCGTGTAAGGCCCCCCGTCACTCACCTCCAAGAGAAACTGGCAAATGTTTTTCCTTTGGTCACCTTGAAGCTGAATAACCTCTCCGTATTCGGGATGTTCGATCACAGTGCCATTACAGGCAAATTTCTGGAGAAGTGCATCAATGGTCAACACAACTGAGCCAACTACAGTGAGCTTTTATTTTCAACTCTAAGACTAAAATTACCCACCCAGTATGATTACGTTTAAGAAACTAGTTTGTCTCCTGCAATCCCCACTACTCCCAACTTAATCTGAAATGAACCAGCAGGTCACACGTAGGCAAAGATGTCACCGGGACCATCGATAACTAAATTACTTCGAGTATGGTTTGATGGCCACATAAATCCTATTTTAAGATGGGAGACCAGACATAAATACCTGAGAGATAGCTGAGAGAACCAACACAGCTTTCCTGGGCCCCATCATTTTCACCCACACGGATACCGCAGGGCCCACAATCCAATTCAGGGTGCGCACCCCAACCCTAGCTTGACCTCTCCCCTCCAGCTCCCTTACCTTTTTGAAAGCCTTCACAAGTTTCTTTTTGTCATAATCATCTGCAATGCCCTGAACAGTAGTCAGCGTCTTCCTGCCGTTGCGCTGCTGGATTCTTATATGGATGTAATCCTCAGTCCCTGCCGGGAGTAAGTCGTCGCCCTTAGTTGCATCAGCAAAGGGGTCTGCAAAGGGATCCAAAAAAAAGCAGAAATCATTATCTAGGGAGCGATTTCCAGATACACGGTACACTCCAGTCCAGGCGGCCCGCAGGGAAGGTTCCAGCGCCTCTGCTCTTTTTGCGGGTGGGGATGGGGGATGG